ATGTGGGCTTAAGTAGCTTAAAAACTGTTGTGTACAATATCTAACCAACTCCCTGGAGTTTAATGAGTGGTACCAATAAATATGCAAAACACTGGGAGACCAAGGGCAAGATTGGGTTTTAGCAGTTCATTGAGCATCCTCTGCAGCCAGATCTGTATCTAAACTTGTTTAGGATCTAACAGACTATTAGTTTGCCTTGGAGATTTCATGGACAGGCAAAAAGATCAATATGAAGGCAAAGAAATGCAGTTTCTCAGCAAATAACCCCCCCAGGACCTTGTGAACTGATTTCAGAGGCTCGGAAACACCTCCCAGAAATGAAAACTAAGTCGGGAAAGTTCTTGTATCCCATTATTTTCCAAAGGACTGGGAGGTGGTCAGTGTGCTTTAGGATCAAGTCCAAATGATTTTTAAGGAGTTAGGTCTCACTTTCAATGAAAGGAAAATAAAAAGGAAGCAAAGCATAATAGATAAGTGAGGCTAAGCACATATTAAAAACAAAAATCTTTTCAAAGCAAAGAACAATGATCTCTTATCTCCAGAAGGTTCAGTAAATAGGTTAATTCTTCATATTGACTTAAAGCTCTTGGGCTTGATTTATTATCCCTCTTGTTTGTGCAGGAATTTTTATTTGCCCCATAAGGCTTCACGCTTATTCCATGTCCATGTGTTTGCCTGGAATGCCCAGCAGTGGAGAGCAAAGCCCCTGGAGCCAGCACAGGAATCTGGGAAGGTCAGGGCAAGATCTCTGTGTTGTTCTGTCCCCAAACCAGCCTTGTCTGCTCCTCATAAGGGAGAGAATGCATTTGGTTTGCAGAGCATCACTAATTTTGAAATGCCACTTCTAGAAGGGGTAAGATTTTACAGAGAGGATACTGAGGAGATGATTATCTTAGCCAAGCCAGGCTTTACTTCCTAAAAAAGTGAGTGGAAGTGACAGTGTGGTCTCATCTGGCACTGGCAACTGTTCCCAGCCCTGTTCAGAGCCACCAGGAATCAGAACTGTAAAGGATCTGGTTTCTGAAGGAGCAGCTTTGTTTCATGACTGTTCTGACACTGCTGGTGCTAAATTTGTACAATGATTTATCCAGGATCCCAGTGAGAATTGCTGTTTGCAGGCAGGTTGTGGCACTCGGTGCTCGTCCAAGTAAAGAAAACAGAGAAGAAGGAATGAAACAGAAATGAGAATTGTGGGAAGAGCATCTGAAAGGAGCAGCTTTTCTGGGTGGGAGATGAGCTGGGATGTTCAGCAGAACGATCTGACACTGAGAAACCCTGAGGAAACAGCCAATTCCTTCACATCCAGGCTGCTCCCTTCCATCCTCTCCAGCATTTCCCACCCAGCCTGGAGTGGATCAGCCTGGGCCTGGCATTGCAGGCCTGCTCTGGCAAGCTTTCAGTGAGGGGCTTTAAAGGAAAAGTTGCCAGCAACAAGGGGAAGGACTGATTTGGGACAGTGGAAACTGAGGCAAAGGTGTCAGTGGAATTATGAATTTTGTAATTATTTTTAATTTATTTTTAATTTTGTTTCACTTGCAGCAAGAGTTGGGTCCTGGGAGGTCGGGGATGACATTTGGCTTCTCACTAGTTAGTCTGCTCCCCAGGAAGGTGTTTTCATTCAAACCCAGGGCTGCCCAGAATTGTGTTATTCTCCCTTGTGGAAAACACCTCCTGACCTTCACCTTTTGCAAGAAAACAAACCACATTTTCATATAAATACAGCAGGGTTCTATAAAAATCTCAGTTCTGAAAGGTACAGTGAGAAATAGTGGGTGAAACCCTACAAGGTCTATTTTTCAATCTTGTTGAGGAAAATAAAGAAGGGATGCAAGCCCCAAAGTTTAGAAGGATGAACATGGAAAGTTCTCTCAGGTGAGGTTCTTCACTGCAGATGTGCATTTGGTGCCTTCTGCAAGGGAACTGTCACTGGTGAGTGGCACCATCAATAATCCTAAATAGTTTGATAAGTGAAATTGAGGTTTCTGATTAAAACATTTATGGAGGCTGTCACAGAAGTTCGGCTTTTTTTTAATACAACCGAAGCACCAAAGTAAATAAACTCAGCCCAGCTGTGAACCAAGAGAAAAAGAACTGCAAGGAAGCCATTTGGTCATCCCTGGGCTCAAACTGTGAAATTAGTGCTAAGAATAGTTAACAGCGGGACATAAGCATTTAATTTTTCAGATGAGGCCCAAACGATAGGAATGGAAAAACCTGCCTGTTCTCACAGCAGCTTTTAAGGGCTGTTGTCTCTGCAGCCCATCCCAAGTGCCTCCCAGAGGGACAGTAATGCTGTCTTGAAGCTGGATTTGTGTGACAGCCCCAGCTCTGGAGCTCGGAGCCATAAAGCTGCAGTGCCTGGGATGTCTTCTGCAGAGATGCTCCCCACTTGATCCAGGCACATCCCAGGGCTGTTACAGCCAAAGGAAAAAAAACCCTGCTTATCATGGTGCCTTTTGGCTATTTGTCATGTTCTGAGGCACTGGGGGTGGTTCTTTCTGGCTGGGCCATGGTCACACATGAGCTGCACCACGAGCCAGAACGTGCTGAGGCCACTTCTTGGCCGTGCTGGGTGTGACAGGCACTCCAACAAGGAGTCAGATGTGCAGAGTCACACTGGCTGCTGCTGCTGCTTTTGTCCCAAATGCACCACTGAGCACAGCAAGAGCGGGGTGGGAAGGATGTGCTCCCTAAGGTACGTTCAGAGCAGGACAGTTCCTTCTCCACGCTCGTGTTGTCCAGGAGAACGGAGCGTTTCAAGGCCCTTGGAAGCTTTGCCAGTACAAAATGTCACTGAATTCCAATATTCCATGATAACAAACCGTGATTCCCATCATGAAAATCTGCTGCTGCTAAAACCTGGTTTCTTTTTGCTGTAGAAATGTATTGAGTTGCATTTGACAGCTAATAATCAGATTATTTACACGTCACTTTGGCACAATTACAGAAACTCTCGTCTGAATTTCCCAGTGGTTTTAGTTCTCAACAAAACTACACGTGGTTTGTTCTCTCCCCAAAAAAAGTCTCAGCCTTCTGCAGGTTGTAGTGATTCTATTATGGTACTGAGCATCTAATGTCTACTAGAGGGGTTAGTCAGAGCTCTGGGAATTGCCTGGTGCTCAATCCACAGGTAGCAGCCACCACATCCAGGAGGATGGACAACTTTACAGGCTGTGCATTCTCAGAATGAGATACCTCAGAAAATTACAGATATCACCAATCTGCTCTTCAGCAATTAACCTCATCCTGACGTCCTTTAATAATTACAGATTGCCTTAAGCATCAATTAGGTTTATCACCCTTTCAGAAGGTGCTGGGGTTTAACTTCTGTGCAAAATGCCCAGACCTTTGTTTAATCCTGTTGGCCTCACTCCTATCCCGTGGCAGGGAGTTCAGGAAGCATTTCCTTTTCCAGCCATACCACCTTTCAGCATCACAAATCAAGGCTGGAATCGTGCGTCTCCAAGTGGGAAACAGCACTTGCAAACCTGCCTTCCCCGACCCCTCCTCGCTTCTGTGTGGGTTTGCCATATTTATCCCTTTCCCCTGTCCTTAAAACCTGTCCTCACCCCCAAACTGTTGCTTTCTCACCCTTGCCCCGGGCTGAGAAGCCCTGCAAAGAGCTGTTTGCTAGGTGAGAAAATCGGGGCAGTGAAGCGTTGCCGCATCCCCAGCGGCCCTCGCACGGCTCCGGGGAATCCCCCAGGAAGCGTTTGGGAGGGTGGGGAAAGCAGGGACAAGCTCCAGCCTAGTGCTCTTCAAGCTGTGCTTAGGGGAAGAGCTGGGGGTGCTCGAGGGTGTTGCTGGGTGGATCTCCTTGGCTGGTTTGGGCTCTTGGCTGCAGGACGTGGCTGTGCTTTCAGCTGATTTCAAAGGTGCCTGGAGCCTTATAAATCTGCATCCAGAGCGAGGAGAGATTCTCCCGACAGGGGACACTGAAATCTCAGTGTCATCGGAATGGAGAGAATGTTTTGATTTAAATACGGAATGAAGCAACCCTTTCATAAAAATAATCTTCCAGAAACGGGGCATTTTCTCTTTTAGAGCCTTAAAGAGCCACAGTTTCTGGCAGAGGACACACACAAACAGCAGCCCCCTCCCCAAAATCATCCTTTCCCACATGCTGACTAACAGATTAAATAATAGATTTTCTGGGTGGTTTAAATGATGCTCATTGTTTACCACGGGGAAAAAGGGTGGGTTTTTTTCCTGCACACACTGTAACAGGAATATGGTTATGAACATGGTTATAACTCTCTTCCCCCTCAGGCTGTTTGAGCCACGAGGTTCTCCTGCTCCTGCAAACCCCAGAACCTTGAGATTGATTTAGAACTCTGTTGCTATTTTTAATCCACTTGACCAAGATATTTATTTCTTGAAATGATGCTATGTTGATCAACTTAGATGAACTTTCTCCAAACACTGACTGTATTTGTTGCTTCTAAAAGTGTATTTAATCCCACCTAGTTTTTAATGGAGCCCAGGTACTCAAAATTCTCCACAGAGTAAATTTAGACAAGAAAGAGATTTGTTTTTCCCATCTTTCTGATCGAGGTAGTTTTATAAGATAGGCCAAGTCCTAAAATCATACTGAAAACATGGCAAAGTGACCAGAAATTTATTCCTTTCCTGTGTGCAAGCCTGTTATGCTACCTTATGGGCAAGCTCTTGAAAACCACCCAGGAAATTGTTCCCTGTCCCAATTCTAACTGCAGAACAGATATGGGGCATTTTTCAGTGAGGTGAAGTTCCTTATTTAAGGTATTCAGTAACAGCAACAGATATTAGATACTTATATCTAATTTTAAAAAATTAGATACACCTTTATTGTTAGATAAAGGGTCTAATTATATCTCATTTTAAAAATGCTTAATTAAGAGCTTGGGATGCCTTATGCCAGAAAATGTCTAGTTAATTTTTGGGCCTGAAGAACTTTTTCTTAGCACTGCAACTTCTAAAAGTCTGTAAAACACATGTTTTCTTACTAATTTTTTTTCCAGCTTCAATGCTACAGGTTTTACCTTATAAATTCTACCTAACAAAGATGAAACATTTCTCCACTCTACTTGCAACAGAACCAACTTCCAAAGGGATTTCACATTAACAACTAAAACACAAACGGGAATGAGCATAAAAGGTAATTTGTAATAACTGCATGTGTGCTAAAATACTTCAGAGCTCTGTAATTTGCAAATCCCTCTTGTATTTTTGGAGAAGTTCAAGTGTAGATGAAAGAAGAAACAAGCAGGATTCTTGTGTGTTTAGTTTTTTGCAAGTTAAATTTTGCTGCATGTTTAATTATGGCAAATAACTTTCTCTCCAAACTGTTGCTTTCTGGCTGCCTTGAAAACAAAACTTAGCAAACCAAAGATGAAAACATAAGGTTTTTGTGGAATTTCATGCTTTTTACCCATGGATTTTATATGGCTGATGACCTATTCCATATTTTCTTGACACATCCAGAGGGAAGAGATCTTACAAGCCAAGTCCTGATCTCCCAATCTCGTGGACAGAGGCAACTAAACTTCCACAGGTATGTGGCAAAATTGCTTTTGATAAAAACCCTTCAGCCCAAAGGATGCTTAAATCCAGTGTGACTTATCCTAGAACAGGCATAAATGGTGATAGTCCAGGAAAAGTAGAACAAAAAGCATCACAGAGGGGAAGAGGGAATAAATATTCTTCAAGTGTAGTGAAGGGAGGTGGCCAAGCTCAGCTTACATTAAAGCCACGATCAAAAAGTACAAATCCTCGCTCAGTGAGCACAGACAGAGCACAAAGTGCTGCACAAGAGCAGCTGAGCACACCACAAAATCTGTGGAATGTTTGAGAGGCAACCCGGGAAGGTGAGCTCAAAAATGACCCTCCCATCGTGGTTTCCAGCAGCCCCAAAATACCTCACAGGTCCTGTGACACTCCCATTGTCTCTGGACAGAGGAGAAGGGCAGCACAGCAAGTCTGAACATCCCACAGGATGGACTCTTGGAGTGCTGCAGATGGAATTCCCTGGGAAAGGCCATCCAGAGGAGCACAGGCATCCCTGGGTGGTGCAGGGGAGAATCAAACACACCACTGCTGCCTTTGGGGGAGGCTTTGTTCTCCCTGCAGGACTGTTCTGCCACTCTCAGAAAGGCAGAGAGAAACACCAGCTATCATCTTCCTCTGCCAGCATGGAAAGGGAGAAAATCATTTGGAAAGGGAATAAAATAAGGGAAATAACAGTGTCAAACTTGAAGAAGTTTTCCGACTTGCTAAATTCAAGCAATGCCTTGGAACTTTGAAAACTGCGTGTCTGCAGTGCTGAGATCCTTTAGAAATGTCCTAGCAAAGGTGGCTTGGTACTTCCAAAATGAAAGAGCATTTCCATTGTACACTAATTAATTTGAAGTAGGAATGGGGTTTGAAAAGGGAGAGAGAAATTGGTTGAGAGAAAATTACCCTGAGCAAAGAACTGGAGGGAGGAGGAGCCTTTCTCAGCAGGCTGAGGAATGAGAGTGCAGGAGACCGGGAAGACACGACTGCAGAGACCTGCCCAGAGCAAGCACACTGGGAACATCCCCGTGATCCTCTCGTGGAAGCAGGCTTCCAAAAATCTATCCCCCAAGTGGCAATAGCATCACTAAAACCCTCCAGGAAGGGTGCCAATGGCTGCTGCCAGGGTGCTGTCACTGCACCACTGCAGTGCTGGAGGATGTGTTTCGTTGGGAGCAGGTGTTGGCACGGGGAACAAACCCAGCCCGTGCTCTCTGATGCTCCCGACTGACAGCTCCCATTCCTTGGGTGGTTCCCTGACTCGCAGGATGCCTGTGGCTGAGTCTGCAGCAGGTACAGGGAATTCCTCAAAGGGAGAGATAAATGCTCTAAGCCTTTTAATGGGGTGCCAAGTACAGGGGGAAGCCAAGTCGGGATCAGGCATAAGCACATTCTTCCCCTTCGCTATCTGGTGTTATTCCTGATTGCGCCGTGGAAAAGACCTCCAGCTTAGAGAGTGGAATTCTGAAGGAGGACAGATGGCTGGAGGCTTGGACTTCTTCAGGCCATGTGCCTTCTGAATCCATTTGCAATGTTTTGTCTGTCAAAACATGAGCCTCCTCCGAGCTACTAAGGAAACAGGCTTTAAAATCAACAAATCCAGCCCACGAGGATGACAGTGGATGGGACTACTGTACAATCCCATTTTCCTGGAACGAGGAGCCATGAGAACTGCTAATGAGTTTACTTAAACTGGGAGTCTGGGGCTTGCCTGCACAACCCCAGTTCAGCAGCTAAGGTAAATAATACAGCTTTGGGAGGCTCGCTTGCCTCTAGGACACTTAGCACCATTAGCAAAGGGGAGGGATCTTTAGCTGCAGCACATGGAGCATATTCCTGCAGGGTCAGGACAACGGGAAAGCAGCAACTCACTAAAAGAAGGAAAGCAGCTGCTTGTATTTATGCTTGTGATGGATGCTCCCAGCGAAATGGTCAGACAGAACAGGGAATATCCATCCAAGGTCTTGACATGACACTCACAGCTGTGCAAATAGCGCACATGGGGAGATGATTCACAGGGACCAGATTTCCAAAATGCCCCAAACCAGGCCCTCAAAGTGAGATGTTTTTTTTGTGAGCTTCCCTCTGGGCCCTCGAGAGATGCTCCAGAAAGGGCTCTCTGCAGCAAAATGCAGCAGTTTCACAGATTAACAGCTCGAACAATGGGTTCAGGATGGGCTGAGGAAAGACAATCTCTGCACGATGCATCCAAATTGTACAAGAAATTAACTGGCATCTGTGAGCAGTCGGGACAAAAAGCTGTCAGAATGTCAGCTTGTGTCCTTCTGTGGATTCCCTTGGACCTGCAACATTCCTATGGCTTGTCCAAGTGCTTAATATTCAAATGGCACGTGTAGCCAGGGTTCACATGTCTGTGTTTGCTCAGGAGCCTGAGGTGGCTCCTGCTGGCAACAAGTGCTCCCCACTTGCTGAAGTTCTGCAGCAAACAGGGACATATGAACTGAGCTGGCACTTGGATGAACTGATGACATCCTGAACCACATAACAAGGCCTTATTTTTCCTATCACAGCCTCTCTCCTCACCACATCCTCCAACCAAACAGGTCTAAGTGCTGTTCAGAGAATCACAGAATGGTTTGGGTTGGAAAGGACCTTAAAGATGATCCAGTGCCACCCCCTGCCATGGGCAGGGACACCTTCCACTAGCCCAGGTTGCTCCAAGCCCCATCCAACCTGGCCTTGGACACTTCCAGGGATGGGGCAGCCACAGCTTCTCTGGGCAACCTGTGCCAGGGCCTCCCCACCCTCACAGGGAAGGATTCCTTCCTAATATCCAATCTAAACCTACTTTCTTTCAATTTAAACCCATTCCCCCTTGTCCTACACGTCCTTGTAAATAGTCTTGCCCAGAGAGGAACAACCCTGGAACTGAACTTGTCACACCTCAGGCTCTTTCCAAACCAGTCCTGAGGCATTTTTTAAGTACTCCTTACATACAAGAACGGGGATAACTTGGGGTGATGCAATACCTTACAAAAAGCTCTCCAACACGTTCCTGGGCTCAGCCTAAGGAGTTATTACAGCTGTATTTTAGGTTCTGTGTTAGCAAATAGCTTTAACTCATAGGAGCAGATCAGAACTTGGTGCAGAGGCTCCAAACTCCCCTCTGAGGGGCTCTGGGCTCCCTGGAGTTCAGCCCTGAGCACTGGAATGCTCGTTAGTGCTTGTGGCACATTAGTGGCCCTCCTGCCGTGCATTCCAGGTTTGGTTCCCTCTGAGCCGGACCTGCAAAACGTTCCAGGAGCCCTCAGGGAGGGCAATCAAAGCAGAGTAAGTGGAGCTCATTAGGAGCTGCATTGCAGAGCCACCTCCTGTGCCCCAGCCAAGATGCCAGGGAAGAGCTGCCAGAGGCACAGCCAGGGCAAGAAAAGGGCACCTGCACTCACCCACCTCTTGTGTCCTTTGTGTGCCACTTGCACATCCCTCACATATATATATATATATATATTTAATATAAAGTGATTTCTGACTGAAAAAGGACATCGTGAACTGCTCCTCCTTGTCCCTCCCTCCTTAACAGAACAAAGGACTCTAGAGATGCAAAATGTAGGCTTATTTGATTTATTCACACTTAATTAACTTCTTGAATTAAATGCATAGCTTGAGTATGGTAAATTACTTCGAAAAGAACCAGAAAACTTAACAAAAAAATCCCTGAGCCCTACGATGAAGAGAGCCCTGAAATGATTTTGCAGGGGAAAAGTAACCATAGCACAGAAAACAAATTCATTTCTTTCCTCCCCCCATAGAGAAGGAAAAAAACAACCAACATCCACCAAATCTAGGCAGAACTCCTTGGAAAAAAATGTCTCTGCCATATGAGAAAGTATTGATCTCTTGTATTACAATCTGCCTCCCTCCTGTCCTTCACATTTGCAGTAGCACAAAGGGTGATAAACAGACTGGAGAAATATCAGAAGCTCATTTAGCTGAGGAGCAGAAAACCTGCTTACTTTATTGCTTGTATTGCCAGCATGGGAGCAAGGCAAGAAAAATAAGTTCTTTCCCCCTCTCAGGTTTACAGGTTATTTGGTACCTTTGTTTGGTCCCTTTTTTTTCATTCCAGTGTCATTAACATTCTAGGAAAAGCCAGTATGTTCTTGCAGACTAGGTTTGACAAAATCGAATTAATTGGCTGATTTGCCTTTGACTGCAATAGGAACAGACTCAAATCACAGTAAAAAACAACCCAGTCTTGTATGAGGCACTGAGTGCAGCTATTTATGGTTTTTATCAGGCAAGAAGTGTCTGTGAGCGTGAGTCAACTCAGTTATTTGCTTAAAATTCTTTCTTACTCTGTTTTTTGCTCCTCCCAGTTACAGTGATCCTCTCACTGGTCTGGGCATCCCAATGCCTTCCTGGGCCACATCTGGGAATCTGCCTTGGTGACCAAATCTAGGAGTGGCAGTGAAGTGGGAAGTGGTTATCCCAGGATGGGGACAGGGGGCATTAGTTAAGGTCATAAACTCAGAATTTAAGGCCCAGTACAAGTGTTGAAGTTGAGGCACAACACTTGAGGCTCTGTAGAGTTCCTGCATAAGAGATCTCCCTCCAGAATAACCTCCCCTCACCTTTGCATCATTCTGGGGGCTCCTGGCACTCACTTCACAATTTCCCAGGAAATTTTTACTACCTACACCTTTAACACCCACATGTTTCCAAACACTAGTAGTTATAAAAATGTTCTATTTCAGCACTTCAGAAACAGGACCGGTACATTTATACCTATTTACTCCAAGCCCAGGAGTGTGTTTGGCCTGTGCTACCCCCATATTCCGTGTTTAAAGGGAGTGGACACTGGTGTTCAAACAGAAGGCCCCTCACACTCCAGCATGATGTCAGTAATTCAGCTCCTCAGAGCGTGTTATTGTTTTAACCAGAGGTCTCCACACTTTCACATGGGTTATAAAATACTTAGTGCTGCTGGACTGGAAGGAGAATGTCATACATCTGCAAACAATTAGAAGGAGCTGGACTTCATATTTGATTTACTAAACAATAAAACAAGCTGAAGTGTGACTGTATCTGTAAGTTACACTCCCTGGGAGCCTGGGGCAGTTATCATAGCAAAGTCTTTTAACCATAATTAAATAAATCCGCACTGGGACCATTGCTGATCAAGATTATCTTTTATAAGATATTTTCAGCAGTGAAAAGCACGAAGATCATGAGGTTGAACGCAGGCTTTAAGTGCTCCAAAAGTCTTTTATCCTTTCTTTCAAGCACACTGTCCACTGCCCCTTTTCCAGCTGGAATTCATTCAGTACGATACATTTCAGCTTTTAAGCACTAATATTTCCATGCTTTCTGCATTTAGATTGAAATCCTGGCATGAGGAAATGAGTAGCAAAACTCTTGATTCAGTCAAGCCCAAGATTTCAGCACAGTTTGTGTGCTTGGGTTACAACGTTCTGGTGCTGTAACAACAGTTACTTGTTATAAATTAACCAGAGATTGTGAATTGAGTAGAAATATTTAGTTGCAAGTTTCAGTAAAGTAATAGCAATGCATCACCACCAATCTTCTCCTCACCAAAACAGAAACCTCAAGCAGTTGTCGGTCTCTAACTCCCAACCTTTATTTGGAATACAAGGTATTTAACATGCTGTTAGTCTTCCCTACTCTATCCCAAATTTACACCCCTAAAACCAGGGCAGCAAAAGGGATGGTCATGTTTGGAAGTTTCCTAGCATTTCTCGCATTTTTTAATCAGACCAAAATGTGTTATGTGCTAAAGCTGAAGCAGTTTATTGTGATTCACCAGGGAGGAGGAGTGCCAGGAGCATCACCTGAAAGAGGGAGTGCCAGCCCAACCCAGGAGTTCTGCTCCTGGTTCTGCCCCTACTTCGCCAAGTTAAACTAAGAAAAAAAAAAAAGTAATTTTCCATCCTTAGCTCTGATTTTCTCTTGATAACCCCAAGTGAATGCCCAGAATTGAGGGGATCACGGCACTGAGCTCCTGCTTGCTCTGTGCCTGACATTCTTGAATTGGGGTGACAGAAAACGTTGAACGTGAGCAGATAAGCCAGAAATGCAACTCTGAGGCTTTGCCTACAAAAATAACTTCTCCATGATGATTACTGTGCTCCAGAATGACAGGGAATTTACTTACTAGTGATAAATAACGTTCTGTGTACACGAATACCAGGGAGAAGGAAACTACCACTGTACATTACAGCTTGCCCTGATTATAGTCACTCAAGTACTATTTTATGTGATTATACTGTTACAGGCCACAAAGTGGAAAAGATGAACCATGAGGTCAAGTTTTGCCCTCTGTTTTCAGGGGTATCCCACTAATGTGCTTGAAAAGCAAGTTTGGGACCGAGGAGTAGAATATATTTTTATGAAAGAAAACAAAACAGCGGCCGAAACATTTGTTACTTCAGCAAGTAGAAGAGTAAACTATTTATATGAAATAATAAATGGAAGAGTCTTAGTTTACAGTAGTGCTTGTGAGTCTGGTTGCTGAATGCATACAATTAACATTGCTAATGCCCTGAGAATTTTTGGCACTGTGTGTGGTGTATGTACACTCAGATGAAAGCTCTTCATTGCCATAGTTTCAAAGAGTGGCCAGGCTATGACTGGAAGCGACCTGGCAGGGTCTGCCCAGAGCTACTTCCACAGGGATCACAAGAGCACGAGCTGTTCAGATGTTTGGTTCCTACCACTGGAGAAATATTCCTGACCCAGGATGAAAGCACTGGACCCTCCTGCATTGCAGGAGTTCACCCAGTGGTTATTTTTTGTCCCATTCAGCATTCAGTTCTTGAAAAACACAGAGTTCTGCAAACCTTTAGGAACTGTTTCTGACTTGCCTGCTTTTTTCCCAGCCCTGCCTCTACTTGACATACTTAGTACAACACAAAATGCTGGACTAGGGTTGCCCTGAGGGTTGTTTTTTTTTTTAGGAGCTACAGACACCAGAATTAATTCTAAATAGATGGAACAGACTGTAAGGCTGCACCGAGCTGCACGGTCTGTTCCTTGCTCAACGCCATGCCCGTGATTTATTTTACGTATCTCCAGCGTGCACAAGTCCAGTTCAATGGAGAACAACCCCTTCTAGCCAACGGGACATTCCAGGCTGTCACTGCCCAGGCAGTGGATTGTTGTGCCCCCCACTGTGATCGTTCCAAAATCCAGCCTTACCTTGGCACACGTTGTGGTCGCTCTGCTCGTACCCGGCCGCGCACTGGATTTGGTGGGTTGGGTTTGGGGGGGCCCGCTGGGGGTCGGCCGGGGTCCGGCGGATCACGTTGTTCCGACCGCTGGTGGATTCGGCCGCTGCCTCTTCCCGCTCATTTACAATAATTTGGGCCGTTCTGGGTAGACAGAGGTATCCTCCATAGTGGTTAACACATTTCATCCCACCTTTACATGCATCTGGGACTATTTCACATTCATCAATATCTGTGGTTAGCAACAACACAAGGCATGCTTTTAACAGGCGGAACCTCCTGCAACAGCCACAATACAAACAAAACAACCAGATGTGCACACACGGCCCTCCCTGCCCGAAACAGGGGGTGCAACGACAGTGCTGAAACGATACCGGTGGCGAGTCTGTCTGCGAGAATGAGTCACTGTACCTTTGCACCGCTGCCTAATGGGATCCCACTCGTAGCCATCTGTGCATTGCTGCAGAGGAAGACAAAAGAAACAAAGAAATTAGGCTGCTCGGGATTCTTTGTTTCGGAAGGATAATCAAGTGCGTTCAGTGAGCTCACAGTTTGACACCGAGGGAAAAGCAATGTTTGCATACCTTGGTAAGATAGAAAACTGGCTGTGGGTAATAGCTATGGGTACAGCACTGGGGTTTGCATGAACAACAAGTCTGGGTCTCTTCCAACTTGGAATATTCTGTAATGTACAGAGAGAGGCTTGGTCTCGGGGGGTTCCCGAGGTATTGTTTGTTGTGGGTAGGCTGGTTTTATTGGGGCTGGAGAACTAAGTGAGCAAAGCATCACTTTCTCCTTGCCCTGTTCTCATACACTGTTAAAGCATCTGTCCTTTGGCTTGACTCAGCTGACCAGTACGAAAATCCTCTCAGGAAAAAAACGGCAGGTTTTTCTGAATTTTGATCTTGTTCACAGCCTTCCAACAGGTGAACATGATTCATTCCCAGGGCCTGGGGGAGGTCTGTGCCCCTGGCCTTCATCCTCTCTCCCTTTAGCACTCTAGCAATGGGGAGGGCTCCCATGATGGCTGGGAATTCATTCACATGCTTTTCAATCACGTGACTCCAGGGGCTGCCGTCGAGGAAGGACAATTTATATTGTGAGACACACAATAAACCGTTGGAGTTTATAACAGCAGGACTACTTATTTATACAAGACTTTGCAAAATTCAAACAAGTCAAGGCTCAGCAACTCCTCATATCGATGCAGACTAGCAAGTTCAGCAATAATTTTAAATATTCTGCCCTGCATCTTCATTATCCTTCTGCCCAAAACCATTACATTGTCTAGAGCAAAGTCATTTTAATCCCAGATCGCAGTTGCAGAAACTGAGTAGCAAAGTGCTACCAACTGCAGCAGAAACATTTAAAATATGAGACTCTCAGTGAATCAACGGGGCTGTGCTGTGTAGGTGCATCCTGTGCTGCTCAGGATATTGGTTTAATGGCCCCATACAACAAAAGAATTCAGTCGGCTAATGGAATTAGTCACAGCCAAGCAAGCTCGATCTTGTTGCTACTCCTCTGCTGCTCAGGGACTTAAAAGTGACAAACTTGACCTTCTGATGCCAAGATGCACGTGTTCCACGTACTCTCCTCAAGTTATTTTGAGGAACTTGTTACTGACTCAGCAGCGGGACTGAAAATGTTCTCTTTGCCTTGCAGGTGACACCAGCGACTTGGCAGCGAGCTGGAGCTTTGAAGGCTCTTTCTCCCAGAGGGGTAAGCGGCCATTCCCTAAAGGAATGACTACATGCTGAGTTGACAACACCAAAGTTACTGTAGCTATGAAAACGCAGACCCGAGGGGAAACAGCTAATTCATGCATTTACTGAATCACCCGATTCCTGTTAATGCACAACAGAAGTACTGTGTGTTTAACTGCAAGGAGCCAAGTCCATCTATTACTGCAGCCCAAGGCACTTGTACAATAGCAAAGGATTTGGCCCTAAGTGAATACAATGTTTGCATGAGAAACAGTAGCATCCCAAGAGTCAAAGCTCCCAAAGCTCTAAGCTTTTTGTTTCATCTTGCACGGCTGGAGTCTAATGATCATCGGAGCACCTAAATGTTATAAACTCTTTGAAAATGAAGCATAGGTACCCAAGTTATATAGACATGCTAAAAACTTTCAATTGGTATAATCAGAATTTTATAGGCTTATCAAAAAACGCTACTTTATTTTTAAAAAGGAGCATGTAATAAATGCATTAAAGGAGGAGGGGGAGGATCCCTGTTTAGTCTGGATTTTCAAAAGATACTTAGATCTTCAGTTTCCACTTACACCCAGGGACTTGAAAAAAAGAGTAAATCACAGAAGCCTCTGAATAAAAGTACTCCCAGCCTTCAAACCCCTAATGCTCCCTAAAGCCCGGTGTTAAAGTATTTTATGACTGACTTCCTGATGCTCACTTGAGGCTTCTTTAAGCCCCGACTTCTACCAGAAGGTCCAACTCTGCAATATTTACTTGCTGGAGCCATCCCACTGACTTCAGTGGGATTACTTGTGTAAGTCCCAATCTCAGGCTTTGGCTGTGGTTCTCTAACTTTTTGCATGTGCGCAGAATTTTCTGCTTGTGTGGCATTGCTGATGGCTGTGCACACATCCAGAGGTCCACCCATATGAAGCAAGTTGCAGGGATTACAGCTGTAATCAGATGTGAAAATGTGGGTTTTTCCCCAGCCCAAGCCGATGTAATTGTCACTCCTTCCATGACATGCATTATGCGAGCCAAAGGCTGAACACGAGCACGTTTAAAAGAAAAAAAAACTTAAAAAACGCCTTTAAATCTCTTGCCCTGGCACTTGGTTGCAAGCAGAACCTATTTCCAGTACTCCTGTACGATTTTATCAAGCCATGCAAAAGCAGCGCTCAAAAGCAGCTCAGAAATGAACAGTCCCGTGATCACTGCAGGACTCAGATGCTTCATTAAGAGCCCCGAATTTGGAAGCGCTTACATTTTGCTAAAAGCAGCTTGAAATAACCTTAAGAAAACACTAAAGAATGTTCGACCTAATTATCTGTCAAATTCCATATATTTCAAGCGAAGGTCCTAGGGTCCCTGTCTTTATGAAAATGGATTAAAACAATATTAAAACCTCCTAATTTTGCTCGGTCCCTCAAGGTGAGCACATAGCTAAACTTTTCAGAGCAGGCAGTCGAAGCCTATTTTGCTCAATCCTGTCAACTTCTAAACGGTGTTTCAGGGCAGGAACGGCTCATTTTATGGTTAACATCCGAACTCCACGACCTCTGCAGCACACGCTCTACCCTGGCAAGAAATTCGGTTTTTCCTAAGGGTCACTTAGAAAAGAATCCCCGCAAAGCAGCAATTAAGTTCCGACTCTATTAAACCTTACCGTGTACGTTATGGTTTCCTCAGTTTCCTGCGAATGTACTGTAATAAGAACGAGAGCAGCCAAGAACATAGCTGTCAACATCGTGAACCTTGAAAGAGAGGAAAAACAAATCAAACGGGAGTACTTTGGGCGGTCTCCATCGCCGGGGGGAGGCAGCGGCACCGCCGGGACCGGGCTGGGAGCGGGGCGCCCACCCAGCCCCTACCTGGGAGAGGCGGCCGGGCGCTCCCGCCAGGAGACGGGGAGGCTCGGCCGCCCTTCCCAGCCCGGGGGTTTTATCCAGCCGGGAGTGTGGGGGGGCGGAAATAACCAGTCCACGGAGTTTAAAACATCCCGAAGCGGGAGCGGCGCCGGGCGGAGGGCGCGGGCAGCGGCGCACGCTTTGGGGCGGAAAAGCGATTTTTTCGGTCAAAGCAATGCTGGGGGGTGGGGGGGACACGCCGGGCACCTGCCGGGCTCTGCCGGACCCGCTCGTACCTGCGGCGGGGCCGGGCGGGCGGCGGTCGCTGCTGTGGGGCCGGCGCCGCTCGCTCTCCTCTGGCCGCTGCCCGTGCGGTGCCGGGTGCGGTGCCCGGCGGCCGCTCGCTCGCTGTCCTTCCCGCGGTGCTGCTGCCGGCGCGACGCCGGCGGGCCGCTCGCAATGTCCTTGCCCCGGCGCGGTGCCCGGCAGCCGCTCGTCCTCCTCCTCTGGGTGGCCGCCGTGCAGCGCCGGCTCGGTTCGGTGCGGAGCGGCGGCCCCCGCGGGTCGGTGCGTGCCCCGGCGCCGGCCCCGCGCTAAATAGAAGCGGCGCTGTCCCGCCGGAGCCCCGCACGCCCCCTGCCGGCCCCGCGGGGCCCGCGGCGGGGCGGGGCGGGGCGGCCGCGCGCGGGGCAGGTGCGGCCCCGCCGCCATGTTGGGGCCGTGAGGGGAGCGCGCGGCGGGGCGGGGAGCGCGGGGAGGCCGTGAGGGGACCCCCGGGTGTCCTCGGGGGTGTCTCCGCGGGACATCGTTAAGGTTGGAAAAAAAAAAAAAAACACCCCAAAACTTTTTTAAGGTCACGAAGTTCGCCGTTGGCGCCGTAAATCGGGCGTGAAAATGCGGGTTTTTTTCCGCGGCCCAAAGCCGATGTGATTGTCGCTCCTTCCGTGATGTGCGTTGCGTAAACCAAAGGCTGGACACGAGAAAAAAACCCTTAAAAAAGGCCTTTAAATCTCGTACCCCGGCACTTGGTTGCAAGCAGAACCTATTTCCAGTATTCTTGTCCTCAGGTGCCACAACCACATGTTCTTGGACATGTCCAGGGATGGTGACTCCATTACTGCCCTGGGCAGCTTGTTCCTAATGCTTTACAACCCCTTATGTGGATAAAAGTTCCCTAATATTTAATCTAAACCTCCCCTGAAAGTTTAAAACAGCAAGACCGAAGTATTTTCATGCACATTTTATATTCCATAAATAAAAGCCACGAGGAGTCCTTCACACGGGAATGACTGTTCCACAGACATCACATAAGTTCGGCAATCAGCTCTTCTAAAAACCTTTTCTGTGTATGAAATGCTGTTATTTCCCTACCCAGTGGGAAAGTTCCTGGACAGAACGGAGGACAAAGGGGAATTGCTGGGATTTAGAAGCTTTAGTGGGTTTTGGTGAGGAGGTGTCCGGGAACTCTTTCTACAGAGGGATAAGCTGGATCTTTATTTAATTCCCCAACTTTGCTTTTGGGGGCCCTGTGATATAGTGAGTGCAGCTCTGTTCTGTTTCCCCTAGTCGAACATGAGGTCTCTAGTTTTAGAAAATGTTTTTACCTCCTTACTGTTGACCTTGAAGGGCCTGGAGAAGTTGAAATCTCCTGAAAAAATGTCTCATTAGGCTGCAGACCTCTGGCACTACTGGCCTAGAGAATACCTTTCCTATCCAATCCCTTCAATTCTTAACATTAAATTATAGTTGATCTTACATAAAACATTGGTTCCATTATGGATGGCCATACAATGCTCGTTAATTTTGTCTCTGAATCCAATAGTTGACTGTCTTACCTGTTTTAGAATGAACCAAGCTGGTATTTCAGAATACTTTCAGCTGTATGTTGTCTATTTTCTATTTTTTAGGTAGTTATGAGAGAAGACAGGATTTTCCCTCTCTCATTGCAGTTTTACAGGTGAGTGGGACTCCTAAAAATATACTTACAGTCCACACACCTCACTGGTAATTAAAGTACAGAAGCAACAACGTGGTGTAGTAGAGAAAATTTAGGTTGACTATGTATTAGGTCATTTTCCATGTGCTTTCATATGGCAACATATTTAATAAACTCTCTTTTGATATGTCTTCTCCTGCTCCAAAATGATCCCCTTAAAGCCTCTATGTCATTATTTAGAAATACAGCTTCGAAGTGTTAGATTTGCTTTAAGTTATTCACTTCTGTTTGTGTAAATTGGATTCATATTTGTGATGTGCGTATATATATGATGATGATGATATATATATTTTGAAACTTTACTGTTTCTTGCTTACAGGAAACAGTGCAGGCATTTCTAATAGTCTAATGAATGCATAATAATGCTTTTATCTACTGGCAGCACCACTTAGTGAGTTTTGAATGCATTGTCATGTCTGCCACACAAAGAGAACAGAATTTAACTTGTTGGATTCTGAATTAAGTAAAAATATTTAAAAGTTTTGTCTTAATCTGCCAGCTAGGGAAACACGGTGTCACAGGACAGTTGTTTGTTTTCAGTCTGGAAAGAGCAAAGCAGAGAACAGCAGAAAGCCCATTTTGGAGGATGTCTGAGCAGTGTCTGAGCAGGGATCCTCTTCACTTGCCTTCAGACAGTGTTTTACCTCGGATGGAATGCCCTGTCCTGCCAAGGGTGGTTCTCAGCCCTTTAAATGGAGGTGGGAGACCGACAGGGCTCATGGTTTGGTAGTTCAGATATTTCCTCCTGAGGCAGCTGGAGGTTTGCCTGCTGCAGGATGGTGGAATGCAGGCCCTTGGAAGTGCTGCTGGGAGCGTGAGGTGTGTGAAGAGCTGCTCAGAGCTTATTTACATCTCTGAGATTGCTGAGGATGAGGGGTGGCCAGACCATCCATCCTTCCATGGCCATCCATCATGGCATGGCTGAGGCCAACCCTTACAGCCCTGTAAGGCTGGGCCCTAATTTTGCCTTTTGTTCCATGGGTTTGGCTCCTTCTGGAAGTGGTGTGCTCTATTCCCTACTGCTCCGCTGAACTCTCTGTCACATCTCGGCCTTTGCTTTCTTAAAACCCCACAGTTTTCATAAATTCTTTAACTCCAATGTGTTTATGACCTAAACGTTCCCATTTTTTTCTTCCTGGCAGGATGTGTTGCCACCCCCCATTGTCCTCAAAAACCCAGGGATAGGTAGGCTGAAGGAAAACTGTGTGTGGTTAAAATGTCACTGCACTCCCAACTAATTCTGGCTGCTAGAACTGTCCCTGGGGGCAATAGACAGCTGGACGTAATTTAGAGCAGGCTGAGATTGATACTAGAGGCGAGCCCGAAAATGAGGAAAACAAAATTGCAGTTTAATCTCTTCTACTCCCAGATCTGACCCCCTTTTCCTGTTTCAAACATTGCTCACTAAGAACAGAAAATGAAGCACACGGCGGGTTTGAGCAACTTGTGTTTCGTCAGCTCCGGGGACTGTTGGTGTCAATTTAAGATGATTTCTGGGCCGGGGCTTGTCACATCCAGTAACACTGGAGTTGTCTAAACTAAGGGCTGGAATGGTGGAGATGTTATTTTCACGTTGGGCTCTCAAGGAATTTTAGAACATAAATTATTGTGATAACATGGCAGGCTGCCTTTCTGCCACGCTGCCTGCAAATGTCAAAATTTTTTCCATGTTTCAACTTGGAAATGACATAGTGTCGGTGAGGGATAAATTGTGAAGAATTAGATGTCTGACTTTATTGCTGATTAAATATGACAAATGCTAAACTTTTGCTTGAGGTAAGATTTTACAAGTTTATTTCTCTTCAAGGGAGGCATTGTGAGCATGTTGAATGTGGCATGAGGTGTAACTTTACTGCAAACTTAATTTGAGAGAAGAACTGCGGGAGCAAATTGCTCTCACTTTTCACAGAAAGCTGACAGTGAGAGGTAAAAACTCACCATATCAGTTCCTTATCACAAGTGTTGAAATTACAAAATGTTATTAAGGATCAAAATGTCAGTAGCAAGGGACAGAGAACAAATTCTCCCCTTCTGCTTAAGCAAATAATCATATATTTATTGTTATTCCTCGTTTACTGCTTTGCATTACAGTAGAGTTCAGAGGTGACAGATGGTGCAAACACAGAATTAGAGAAAACTGTTGAGGAGAAAGCATGAGAGTAGGATTAGTAAACCTAGTAGTAGAATTTCAACCTTTATTTTGCTGAAGGTACCTCCTGTATGGGAGATCTTGCACGAGTTTTGTTGCGCTGAGGCCTTTGGCTAAGTTGGGCTAACCCATGATTTCATTTTTAAATGTCTGACAATGCTCTGAGGATATTAAAGTATAACATGGTTGCCAATTTTTATTTGCCAAAGATCAGGCCTGTGGTTTGCATACAGTCTGTCAGACAGTGCAATTTGCTTTCCTGCTGCAGTTTGTGGCCGTGTGCTGCCGTGCTTTGTGTGTTCCTGTGAGCTCCAGCAGAAAGCTCGACGCCCACATAAGGTGGTGACCGTGAGAAAGGTGTCTCCCGGGGTTTATCCACCTTTTTCATTGGTGCAGTTGTACAGCCAGGATAAATTGGGAATGGAAAGGCTTTGGAAGTGTGAGGGGTTCTCTGATGTGGCTGAACACAACCCATGAAACGAGGATGTGTGGGGGAGGGATGAGCCTGTTTCACTCTCCACGTGAGGTTCATCACCCCTTGTGTGAGGAAGTCTTTTTCAGGAGTATTTACTCTCAGGAGTAAGGATTTTTCAGGACTGCAAACCCCTCCTGTTGACCCTTATGTGTGATGTTGATTTCAGGCTTCCCCTGGCAAAATCAAGAGTGTGGTTTGAAAGTGCTCTCTCGGTGTTTTCAAGGGCATAATTTTGAGGCCCAGCTGAACACAAGGCTACTCACAACCCCAGAATGTCTGGTTTTATGGAATAACCATCCAGGTGAAGACCACTTACTGTGGTAGGAATTTCAAACAGGGCAAATCTGGGCCTTGACTTCAGTTGCACTGCTGCTGCTGTGAAGATTTTATTTTGCTGAGCAATCATATCTGGAATTTGAACACTCTTCCTATCTTTTGCTTGTATTTCTGCCTTTTCCCACCTTTTTATACTGTGTAGCAGCTCTTTTCCATTCTCTACCAGTGATTTTCTTTCTTTTCTTTTTCTCACACCAGATAAGAGAAACACCAACCAGAAAACATCAGTGTAGGTATGTGGCTTTTGTAGCACTGGAGCTGTCATTCCTGCTCCTTTTTTTTTTTAGGAAAACCAGTGTTGGTGCTGTACAGGAGTCAAAGCCTGGTGCTGTACCAAGTTTCAACCAGTTTGGTTAAAATGAGAACTCTTTAGAACTTTTTCCCAGAACTGTAACCCAAGCTCTTAATATCTCCTATTTTTGATGCTTTGCAATTTTCCAGCCTTGTATTTAGATTTTTGGGATTAGTTGGGATAATTTAACCTTTCTTAAGAGGATGTAGAGGATTCCTGATTTTCGGGAAGTGCTAAGCTCTTCCAAGGCAGGATGTTTGAAACCTTTAAGCCTCGTGGGCCCAGCACAGAGTGTGGCAGGGTTGTGATCCTTCAGCACAAAGCTGAGACCTCTTGGAAATGCTGCACTGAAAGGACCTTAGAGGAACACATTTGTGGGACAGAGCTCTTGCTAATGAGTGTTCTGCTTTTTAAAATCCATGAACATCAGCATCCCTGGGTGTAGTAAACAATAATTTGGTTCCATAAGCATCTTCTGAACTCTCGGAGTTTGCTGTTCTTTTCTTCCCCTTCTGAGAACAAAGTTATTAATACCAGAAAAGCAGGAGCATTTCTTATTTATATTGTGTGGGGGTGAACTTGGCAAACAACCTGCCCACTTAACCAGTTAATTATTGTCCAGGGACACAACTTCTCTGCTCAGTCTCTGCATGTTAACAGTACAGGATGTGTGTCAGGGCGTTTGAATTCCCCGGAATATTAAACTTACTTAGTGCTTGTCTATAAGCTATCATACAGAAAGCACAAGAAAAATGCCAGTGGGGATTTTCCTCTCCGAAGGGGTTATCCTCTCACCCCTCTCTGGAGATGCATGTGGTTGAAAGGCATCAGAATTCTGGAAAAAGCTGGAAGATGATCCCACTGAAAGCTGGCACAGAAAAGCCCCTAACCCTGTATGCTCCCAAAATATGCTCTGTAGGAGTTTAACCACATGAGGGAAAAGCTCAGCTCTGGGAGTGAGGCAGCAGGAACCCCACATCTCCCAGTCACTGAGGTGTCCTATCCCTTTGAAGTGGCTGCAGAACAGCACCAAACCTTTCATTTGTGCGATAGACTAACACATCGCTCACCATATATATTCATTTTAAATGATGTGTAACGTGGGGATTGCTTTTTTGTAATTAATCAGCTCAAGTTCTTGTTCCCTGGAAGCCCCAAACTCTGACAGATTCAATCCTGCTCATTCAGCCATTACCTTGCTTTAAGGCCTGTTGTACTTTAGAAGTGATAAAGGCCCAAAACAACCTGATGGAGAGAAGGAAACCCCAATTCCTGTCTCCATCCCAGCTCAGTGTGTCACTGCAGCGAGCCCCGAGCTCTGTTTTGCCAACAATAGTCTCAGTGTGTGAGGGGCCTCTTTGGCACCGCAGCTGCAGGTCGTAAATACAGTTGTGGAGATTAAGATATTAAACTGTGCCTCTCTGGAGGCTGCAGAGCCAACCCTGAGGGATTGCTCCTGCTCCTGCAGCTCCTGCAGCTCCCAGGTACCAGCTGGAACACAGCCCAAGGCACAGGAGAGGGACAAACGTTGGGAAGAGCACTGGACACTTTGTGCAGGCCCAGCTGGAGCCACTGCTCTGCCCTCCTGTCTTCCCATGCTTTATAAAGGAGCAGCAAAGAGAAGGAGACTGGTGGGAAAAGTTGCATCAATGCAAAGGGGGGGAGTGTGTTTACCTGGGTCCTACTCGGTGTCTTACCACCACTTACTCCCAGACTCCTCAGTTATGACCTTTTATCTTGTTTTAGGTAGAAAAGGTTTTTGGTTTCCATATTTATTCTCCTTTCTCACTGTGATGTTTGACAGCACTTTAAACTGGGGTTGTAGAAATTTTCACTTCTAGCAGCAATAATTAGAATGTGTCAGAGCTTTAGGGCTTGGTCTTTTCTGCTCACATTCATCCTTCATTTTTCAGATGTAGATCTATTAATAGAGCTTTTACCATAAAAATTCAACCTCTGCAAGAAAACATGGAGCAGGGAAAGCAGGATTGATTGAGCTTGTCTGTGTTTAAATCAAAGGAGAGCCCTTGATTCAACATTTTGTCAGCAAATTGTGGCTGAGTTATTAATTATCTGTCTCAGTTATTAAGTACCTGGAATTTGTAAATCTTTCAGGAAAGCCTTTAATATACAACTCTCTGACTGTTCCTGGAGCTCCTGACTGGTATCTGGGAGGAAGCTGTGGGCACATGGAAACATGTCCTGCTGAAGATGGATGGATCCAGTCTGTTGGAAGGGCTTGTTTGATCGTGTGGTTGTCAAAGAGCCTTTTTGGCACTTGTTGCTTTAGGACTAAGGGTCAGATTCTTTCTCTGCCTTGCACTGGAGATGCATCCAAACCTGTGTGGTCCAACTGCAGTGGATTGGGAGCCTGTTCCATTTTTGTGGGTAGCTGTGCACGTGGCTTTTGGGGACAGCTCTGGTAGTTGCTGGTAAATGCTGCTTTAAAGGGGAGGCATGAAGACAATGGAGGTGGCTTTGGCCTCAAGACTGTGGCACTGCAGTTGTTAAAAAGGGCCTTTCCATATTTTTCCTATGCTTTCCTTCAGTCTCCTTTATTATATGGATTCAAAAGGAGGTTAGCCAAAAACAAAAAGAGGAAAGAGGAGGTAGAGTTTTGTTTCCCTGAAGGTAGAGGGTTGAGGGGTTTTACAACACTCCTTTACAGCCAACAACGATTCAGAGTTAACACTCACATAACGTGGATAAAAAATACTTCCATGTAGAAAATCACAGCTTGTGTCTGTGGCTTTTCTTTGGGTTGAATGGCTCCAGATTCTCCATTCCATTAACCTTCATCTGCACCAGGGCTGTCATTATTTAGTAAGAGCCTTCTGTAGTGCAGGACATGTGTCTGTGAGGAAGGCCTGAAGTAGCAAGTTGTGGTGTTTAAAGTGGGTTTAAAGCTCTAAACCCCACTGTGCTGTGTAAGTCAGATTTAGCATCATTAGGAGAAGAGGTAAGGACACATTTTCTCCACAGCAAACCAAATCTTTACTTGGGGTGGATTTACAGTTTCTGCCTTTTAGGGTTTTGGTTTGTTTAGTGTGCATCTTAGGAAGGGAAAGAAGAGCTACCACAATACTTCATTTGGAGTCAGGAGACCTCCTTTCACTGCACTGCTGCCTTTCCAGAATGAGTTCCCACTGTCAGGCAAAGAATATCATGGAGGCATGGAAGAAAGTGGAATGGATTTGTTTGCAGTAATCTTTATTAGAGGAAAACTCTTGGCTTTTCCAGGAGGAAATGAAGATCACACACATTTCCTCCACAAAAAAAAGTGGGTTTGTTTTTTTGTCCACCTTGAGGTCTGAATGAAATCTTTATTCCCAGCTGGCAAAATGTGACAGAGCATACCTTTGGTGCCAGGCTGTGTAAGGGATTAATCATCTGGTGAATTTATTAGCAGCAGCCATAAATTAGAGCTCTCAGGGCTCTTCACATTTTACTAACTTGGATTTACGAGTATGTGACCGGTGTAAGTGAATTACAAGATAATACTAACCAGAGATGTTTGCTCACAATTTAACTTCTCCTTCTCAAGCTATCAGTTGTTTACTGCTCTGGACCAATGAAGTGCTAAAAGCTAAATACTGTGAAATGTTAAACTTTGATGAAAGATATGAAGACAGAAACTGTTTCTTTTGCCAGCACTGTGGTCAACAGCAGTGCCCTGACCTGATTACTTAAGCTGATGTTTTTCCTAAATCTGTCATGAATCAGTAATTATCAAGTTTTGCAATACTCAATGATTCTCTTGTGAATAGCAAAATTATTTGTTATTGTAGGTTGGTATTTTCTAAAAAGAAGTGTTCAACCCTTGCATCTGCAACCTCTATACAGTATGTTTTCCTTTTTTTTTTTTTTTTTGCCTGGAGGACTGTGGAATGCCACAACAAATGTCCTGAAGAGTTTCACAAAATGTGAGGAGAATTCAATCTGGCCTAATCTGGAAGTGACCCCTCTGGTGTCTTATAAAATAAACTTTCGTGTCAGTGTGTTTTTCCAGTCATGGTTGGAAGATTTCCAGTACAAGTATTTAGTTGTGGGGCTTGACTTGTGGGGTTTCTAATAGGAAAAGGAACTTGTACAGCAGATTGTTTTTATTAGGGGGGTGTTCCCATGGCAATTGAATATGGCAGTGCCAGAAAAATTTCCCTTTTCCCTGGCACCAGGTGCCATGCAGGGGTGTGAGGTGGGTGTGGAGGGGTCACAGCAGGGACCAGGTCCCTGGGTGAGGCTGGAAATTCAGCCCTTCAATTCTGGTGGCAGAATGCTAACAGCTGCCTTTGGAGCCCTAGTAATCCTTGTAGCTCCTGGCTGAGGAAAAAGGGACCAAAATGAGGGGAACTTCTCAGCTGAGGTGGGTGAGAGGTGTGGGAACGTGATGCATTGTCTGGTCAGTCCTTTAGAAAGAAAAGGTGAGAGGGCAAAACCTCTGTGGGGCTTATTTGATGGATGTTTTGGCTTCTGTCCGTGCAGATCTGTGGCTACCACCCCATGGAAGCTGGGCTGCACTTCAGGCTGTGTGTGAGGAGACTGTGGAGCCTGCCATTCCCAGATCCTTGTCCAGGGAATGCTGCTGAGGATGTGGTAAGTGGGCCTGTGCCCCCCATGGCTGACAGCAGTCAGGGACAGCGTGCAAACAAGCAAATTCAAATTCAAATGTGAATGTGAGGGTGTGGTCTGACTGGTGGGGATTTATCCAAATGATAGGGGAGCTGATAGCAGGAAAATAAAAAAGAAGAAAAAAAACAAGGAAAGCTGCAGCAGCCAGTTGTTTTGGGGTGAAAATTGCTCAACTTAGATTTGTGGTTTTACGTGAACGTGCACATTAAAGAACGCTGAGCTTTACAAACAGGGGTTTAGATGGATTGCTATTGTTGCTGGGTAAAGCATATGGGCTTACAGGCAGCACAAAATGCCATAAGCCTATGGGTTTGGGAATGCTCCATGGAAACAAACGGCACCCTGGCTAAATAAAGAGATGTTTCCTAGATGGATCTCCATGAAAAAGTCAGCTCAGCACTCAGGGACACTCCACACCTCCCAGAGAAAAATGCACAGCGGAGTGGGGAATTAAATGGCTGTAACACAGAGAAGGCTTTTATGAGAGCCTTGGGATGAAGCGATGTGTTGTGGATCCATAGCGTAGGAATGCGATGAAATGAATTCCCGTTGGAGATAAGGAAAAGGCTCTGGAGATGAAGTGCTGCCCTCCGGTGGCCAAGTGGCGGCACGAGGGGTTTGTGTGCGGGGCTCGCGGGGCGTTCGCGGGCGGGCAAATCCCAAAAACGTGCGAGTGCTTCCCAAAGGACCCGATGGTGACGGGTCCCAGGGCAGGGCAGCAGTGGAGCAGGAGGAATATCAGACACAGGACACGGGCACAGTGCCCCCCGGGGCGGCTTCTTCACAGTGCTCACACCAGACAATGAAGAGCTCCCAGACTTTGTGTCCAGAGCTTGTTCCAAAAATTCTCAGTGTTTTAGAGGAGTTTGAATTTGGGCATTTGCTTCGGCTTATTTTGGGATAAGGGATGGTCTATGAAACTGGGGTGGAGGTTCACAGCTGAACTTGCCCTTCTGTTGGAGGTGGTGGCTTTGTCCAAGGTTGTTCTCAGCTGGAGGAAAGAGCTCTTTCCTGTGTGCTGCAGTAATCCTCTCCACTTCTGGTTTGCACGGTCCTCTGCTCTGGTTCATGAGGAAAGGGACCTTCAGGGATGAAATGAGCCAAAAATGTGAATCCTCTGAACAGGCTCACCTTAAAAAGGAAGATAATGGCTTGATGGAGAGTGCCAGCACAGTGTAACAGATGCAATTAAACTAATTTTCCTCTTGTTTAAACTGTGGTAATGACTCCCCTGCAGCCCCTCAAAGTCAGTTCACTTCTTTAACGTGGCATGAAGGAGAGAAGACTGAGTTATCTGAGTGAGGGAGTTGTTCCATACAAACATGGTGTCCTGTGTGGGGCTGCATTTGTTGCCTTGTCAAAGCAGTTACCCAACCCTCTGTGGTGTTTGGGAAAGCAGGGGAGTTTCTGTAATGCCTCCAAAGGTGCCTTTCCCTGTGACCTTAGGAGCAGCAGGACTGCCTGGGGAGAGTTAAGCTTTTCTGTCCTGATCTGGAATTTTCTGAAGCTGCTCCTGCATCTTTGTCTTCTGTGCGAAGTATGGTTTCTGTTTCTCTTTGGTTAAAGTTGTGTAAGATGAATTCAGGGAAAAAATCTGAGCCTGGCAAGGCTGGGAATCCCAAATGCAACCATTTTACGTTTACTGGCTGTGCAGAGTTCTGCAAAGACCCAAAGGAGAGGGAAGAACTTCTGCTCAGGTAAGTCAGTGGAACAGGCACGGTCTGAGGAGTGTTGATGACTCACCTTTCCCTTTATTCCCATTTATCGGGTACATCTCCCTCCTGTTCATGTTTCCTACAGCCTCTCTTCTCCTCTTCATGAAAGCAATGCTGCTTAGAAGGCAAGAATGAGTTTCTCTGGGTGCAGAAATCCTGGAAGTATGGGCAGACCTATGGACACACACATCCATGCTCTGAAAAACATGTGAACACACAGACACAGAGCACATGCAGCTGGGTGAGGGCTTTGCTGGGAGCACCTGCTGCCTCTGTTTCCAGGGCTCCTGTGCTTAGTGGTTTTGTAGGCCCTTGGAGGCAGACATTGGATGGAAACTTCCAGGAATAACCAAGTCCAGTTATCCAGTTAGGGTCAGGCAGTAGAATGTCATGTTAATTCACATCCCCTGCACTGATGTACATGTAACATTCTTGTGATGACAGCCCAAGGCTTTAAAGCTTATCAGACTGCTGTGCTTAGAAGATTAGACTCAGGCAGGCGAAGCTACTACACATCAAACAACGCTGAAATAATAATTTGATACCATTTGTTACATCTGTCCTCTCCCGTGGGAGATTTTGTCCCTCATCACACAATGCAATGTATCCAGGAGTAGGTGGTGTTCTCCTGAATGTTTAGCTGCCTTTTTTCCTTAATGTGGGATATTTTGTCTCACATCACACAGTACAATATACTCAGGAGTAAGTTTTCCTTGCTTTTCCCATCTGTCCCATCCCTTTAGCCTCCCCTGGCTCCCCAGGGTTCAGCCTTGCCCCTCTGTTGCTGCACCTCAGTGCACATTCTGGTTCAGAACGTAGCTTGGGGTGTCTCCAACGAGAGGAGCAAACAACTGCTCTGTGCTTAGGGACATCTTCACCTTCCATCAGGCCTCCCAGAGCTGCCCTGGGGCTGGGATGGGAGGTGGTTTCTGGCTGCTCTGGTGTCTGTGATACTGGGTGCAGATCGTATCTCCCCCAGACTACCTGCAGAGCTCCTTTGGGTGAGCACGGCATTCCCAGCATCCCGCGGGCAGGATGCAGCAGTCGGATCTGTGCCGTTCCCGTTGCCCCTCGGGCACACAGCCGGGAGCACGAGCTGCATTCCCAGCAGAGCCGTGGC